GAAGCATTTAGCACAGTTTTCATAGAGCTTATAATGTTGATACTGTAGTCCCATATGAATGCTGAGAATTTCTTGGGCAAACACAGACCGCCGAGTCTTGAAGTATAAAAAGCTAATGCCAATGCTCACGTACCAAATAAAAAGCATGCCAGGGGCGTTTTTTAGGGGGATATTTGTGCAGCAGACCCATGCCAAGTTCCCCCCATCCATGTCTCTGCCTTTTGTGCATTACACAAATGAACGTCAACATATTTTGGTTGGGAATATTTTGTGTTAACTGAACAAACGGAAGTTCTCCCAGCGGGGAATGGTTTACCAATAATGGAAGGTGCTAAGTCCCCTTGCCCCAGAATTTGATGATCTTTTGGTTAGCAGGTTGGGAAATCGTGCTCCAGAAGAATAATAGAACACTCTGAGATCATAATGCTTGCATTCAGATTTGGTTCGAAATGCTTTGTTTGGCATTTGCCTATCGAAAATATGAAATAATCAAGTCGATCTCCATCTAATCAACCTGTAAGTCCATTGTGTTTATGTGAGAACATATAATAATATTTTCCCTAGACTCAATTATATTATTATTTAGAGGGGCGATGCTTAAATAGACTCGACCAGATCCCGCATAGCTTCAAAAGTCATTTGGATAATCAGACAAACAAATCAATGTATCCCAACGGACTGCAACCCTTCAAATTAAAGTGCCTCCCAATCAATTTGTCTATTAATAAAGCCCCAAGAGGAACAGATCTTCCAGAAACATGGCCGAACCCAAAGTTTTTGGCCGCCCCAAACTTTCAACAGAAGCATAAACAATGGGATGTTGTCTGATTGAAGCCAGGCAGAGCCATAAAAGCAAATAAAACAAACTTCTTCGTCTATGAGCGCCTTGAACTTTAAGGTTGGGGCAATTCCAAGTAGGAGGCACATGTATTACGGGGAATCGAATCGAATTCGATGTCTAAAATTATAAATTTGTCTTCCTGCCTATTCCTAACTTCATTTTTATGATCTGCCGCTGCCCGATGCACCATGGAAACATGGAAGTGCCTCCAAGTGGAGTGGGCATGTTGCCACTCCAGGAGGCTCCAGGTTGCGTTCCATAAAAATAAAACAAAATGCGCCAACTGCTGTTGGTCATAAATAATGCGTTTGTTCGCTCACATTTCTGTTTGCTGTTTCCACTTTCATTGGCTCGAACATTGAATTTGATTTGGTTTGGAGTTGTGTTGTCTGTCCGTTTGATTCATTCAGTTTTATGTTATTTTTTAATTACCGAAGCCTGAAATTTGGCCACGCTTTCGTGTCTGAATCGGAATTTCAATTGGTTTTGACTGCGGCTTTACATAAGAACCAATCAAACTGAATGACTCTGAGCAGTTGAATAACAATATTCTCGATTTCCTTGCGTTTTTCATCTCTTTTTTTTGGCATGACGAAAAAACAAAAGTTGCCCAAAGATCGCTTAATTATATAATCATCCGCCGAAATGTGGCAAACGACCTCCATTGCCATTCCATCTTTGTGTGGTCCCCAATGTGGAAGTCGGAGTAAATTAACCTTAGCAGAGCGGCAAGTAATTGCCACTAAAAAAAAGTTTCTTCAGTTTTTTTCCTGCCGCTTGGCCCATAATTGTTTGGTTTCCCCGTAAACATTTGGAGTCAGTTGACAAACAGTTGGACGGGGCCAGCTTTTGATCTCTGATCTTCTCGGATGCTGCTGCATGTTCTTCATTAAATCTTCATCCTATATGTGATGCGGAATTTGTGTAAACACCGCCCGTTTGTTTACGGCATCTCCGATTGAGTGGCGGTTACTTCCTGAACGAACTCTTCTGTGGGTGGTTCGACTCCACTTCCAAGTCCAATTGCCTAATTGGTCCATGGCCCCATCGAGAGTTCAACCGCAGTTCACCACTTTTTAAGTGACATTTAACAGCGGAACGGCGGAGAAGAGAAGAGGAGCACCGAACTCGTTTTCACGTTAAATGAAATTACCAGCAAAAGGCGATTCCATAGAAATAATATTTTATTTTTTCCACTACGCCCATTTGCCGGGCACATGGGATCCGAATCCGAGTCCAAGTCCGATTCTGAACTCAACCAGCTCCCTGCTCATGTGTTAATTGCTTATTATATCTTCGTTTTTATGCCGCCTCTACGAGTCTGTCTGTGGTACCAGAACCAGATGCAGCGACATGTTCATTTATCAAAAGTCAAGCCACGCTCCTCCAAGCCCCCTGACCTTCCCTCTTCCCTCTGGCCCCATATAGGCATACATGCTGCAGATAAGGTCAATTAAAAGAGTCAACCGGAAATGTCGCGACGTTCGCTTAGGAGCCACATCTCCCCTACATCTCTCTTTTTCTCGATTTTGACTTGTCTGCTCATCCCTTTAATAGTTTGTCAAATATCAGCGGATCGAACAATTACCATATCCAAGAGTGGGTGGCTGGCCATTCGAAATGGGGGCGTTTTAATTAGATTACACCATCGCAGCCAGTCATAAATATTTTCGCACAACGGAGCAATTTATTATTTTAATCTACCGGATGTGCAGTCGCACTCCTCTCGCCGTCCCCTGCAATTAAAAGCATACGAGTGAAGTGCATAAGGAAAAACTGGGGAGCAGAACTAGAAGCGGGTGCAGTTCTTCAAAAACCCGAAGTACGAGTATATGGGCAAAGGCAGTCAAGCGATGGCTGGAGAAGTTGAGAGAGTGCCCAAAAAGAACGTTAGAAGGTAGGACAGGAAGTGCCTGTCTGGGTGTGCCTAGGAACCTGAGCAGTCATGTGTGAAAACCCCTCAGGGGAAAATGTGCGGCGAAAAGGTGGCGGGCAGGTAGCTGGAAAATCAATATCTGCTATGCATTGGATAAACAACAGGTCAAGGGGATCGGAAGATAAGAAGTGCCATCTCCTGTCTATCAGCTTGGGAAAGTAAATCTGGTAAACCTTATTAGAGGAAGGGGGGTCTCAGGGACCTCATTAGTTTCAGTTCAACTTCCGCACTTGTAAAGTCAGTAATGGGTTTGTGAAAACATTTTTTCACACCAAAGAGTTCTATCAATACTGCGTAGTTTATCATTTTTTACATTTCTATTTATATTTCATATTCTGAATTCCTCATCGATCTTTACTTACTCACAAATTCCTTTATCTTGTATTTGCAGATCTATCCCGGTCCCGATCCGAAACACATCATGGGCTCCCTGGTGTTCTGCATTCATCACAAACAGGGCTGCAAGTGGTCCGATGAACTGCGAAAGCTGAAGGGACATCTTAACGCCTGCAAACACGATGCCACCCAGTGTCCCAACAAGTGCGGAGCTCAGATTCCACGGATCATGATGACCGATCACCTCCAGTACACCTGCACGATGAGGCGTACCCGATGTGAGTTCTGCCAGAGTGAATTCTCCGGAGCTGGTTTGGAGGAGCACAATGGAAGCTGCGGCCAAGAGCCGGTTTACTGCGAGGCCAAGTGCGGTCAGAGGATCCTGCGCGGCAGGATGACCCTTCACAAGTCCAAGGACTGCGCCAAGCGGCTCCGTCGCTGTGTCCACTGCCAGCGGGAGTTCTCGGCAGACACACTGCCCCTGCATACGGCCCAGTGCCCAAGAGCTCCGTTAGCCTGCCCCCAAAGATGCGATGCTGGTCCGATTCCCCGGGGTGAGCTAGAGGCTCATCTGCGTGATGAGTGCCAGTCGCTAGCCGTGTCCTGCAGCTTCAAGGAGGCGGGATGCCGCTTCAAGGGTCCCCGCCAGATGCTGGAGGCCCATCTGGAGAGCAACGCCGCCGCCCATCTCTCGCTGATGGTGGCCCTTAGCTCGCGGCAGGGTCAACAGATCCAGATGCTTAAGTCGGCGGTGTCCAAGCTGTCCATCAACTACACAGGCACTCTGTTGTGGAAGATCACCGACTGGTCGGCGAAGATGGCAGAAGCGAGGGGCAAGGATGGCCTGGAGCTGGTCTCACCACCCTTCTACACCTCCCAGTATGGATACAAGCTGCAGGCTTCGATGTTCCTCAATGGCAATGGACCTGGGGAAAACACGCACGTCTCCGTCTACATAAAGGTCCTGCCGGGAGAGTACGATGCTCTGCTTAAGTGGCCATTCTCGCACTCCATCACCTTCACGCTGTTCGAACAGGGCGCCCAAAGTGGCCAGGGAGGCGTGGCGGAATCCTTCGTTCCGGATCCCACCTGGGAGAACTTCCAGCGGCCGTCCAACGAACCAGATCAGCTAGGATTCGGCTTCCCGCGCTTCATCTCCCACGAACTGCTGCACAGCCGACCCTTCATCAAGGGGGACACCGTGTTTCTGCGCGTGAAAGTGGACCCCAGCAAGATAGTGGCCGTCTAAGGCGCACCATTAGTACCGTAGACATTTACTCGACTTGTGTAAATACTGTGTATTTAAATTTATGAGTAAATCACCTAGCCTAGCGTAGTCTAGCCTGTTCAGTCTCAGCGGCAGCTTCGGGCGATGTTGGCCGGCAGGCGCTAACTGGCCTTGGAATGCTGACCGCTGGGCCACTGCGTCATAGTCATATTCGATTCGTTTAGGTTTTTGCAGTGCTGGAATTAAACCAAAGCATAATTACGCATAGAAATACATTGAGAGCTCATCCAATTCATCCAATAAAATACGCCTAAGTTTGTGTCTTAAGTCTTTTGTTTAGAGATTTGTATTATTGCGCGCGATGCGATCACTTTCAAAAGATCTTCAAACTAGACCATACGCTCAAAATCACTTAGACCATAAGTTGCATGTAAATAGTGTTAAATTCGGAGCAGCCGCAGCGACCGCAAACCTAGTTTAGTTGTAGTTGTACTTAGTTGCCTAAGCGAACGCATAAGTCATTAGTACCATGAACGCGAACATAAACATGAGAATCCAACTTTCAGCATAGTCAAATAAGTTTATGTTTAAAAGCTAAGAAGTCAAACATACAATAAAATGCAGTAACTAAAATACAATTTCAAATTTGTTGTGTTTATTTGGTTGGGAGAGTTTTTATATATCATATCTATTGTAATATTTATTCTATGGTTCCTAATCACTTTCGTTGGACTCCTCGCATTCTTTGTAGTTCACATTTAGATTTCTCCGCCCCCTTCTCCCACTTAATTGATTAATGTGAGTACGCGTGTGCTGCTTCAAAAGATATGTGCTCGTAAAGGACAGCGGGCAGTGGACACACTGGTTGTGACTCAAAATGTGCTTGGTAAGGAGTTTTTGATGTTTGTAGGACTTTTCGCACAGTGTACAGTTGTACTTCTCGACAGCAGTCCATAATTTCTTGTGCGTGGCGTGGTGCGCTTGGTAATCATCTTCAAGGTGAAATTTTTTGGGGCATTTGGGACAAGGGAATATTTGTCCCGGGGACTTACTTCGAAGAAATTGTATGCATACCTGCGAATTGATGTGTTCTTTAAGATCGCTTCTTTTTCCAAAAGTTTGCTGGCACTTTATGCACTTGAACGGCCCTTTAGTCGTGTGACTTTTCTTGAAGTGATAATCTAGATAATACTGACTTTGAAAAAACTTGGAACACTGGTGACACTTGAAGCGAGTGTGAGCACAGTCGTGATTTTTGAGGTTGCTTTCTTCAGGAAACGACATCATGCAGAGGGGACATTTGAACATTAGTTTATCCTTGTGGTGCTTTAAATGATCTTTAAGGCTGGACACGTCTGAGAATACCTTTGAACACTGCAGGCACTTGTGCGATGACTTCCGAGAGAGTCTCTTGGCGAAATCCTCATGTGTCTGGATGTGAATTTGAAGAAAGCTGGCGTAAAGGAATACTTTTGGACAGTGCGGGCACCTATATGGTGGTTCCGACTCTGATTCTCTTTCATTATGCGGCCTATGAATCCACATATGGGCTTCAAGACATCCGCGTTTCAAGTATATGCTTGGACACATGGGACATTTTAGCCGTGGACGCTCTGTGATACGCTTTTGATTATGCGTCCGAATGTGATCTTGAAGTTTGGCGGCGAGTAAGAATATCTTTGGACATTGAGGGCATCTGTGGGGTGGCTTCCCAAGAACTTCATTATCCACTGACTTCATTTTTACTGGTATTGAATCTTCGTCAATGATCTCTTCTTTTGGTTGTCGGTACGTCTGGATAACATTTTCTTCAGCCTGTAGAACCTCCGATGCATTTTGCACATCACCCAGGCAAGTTAGGCAAATATATTCAGAAAATGAATCGCCGTTCTCAACTGGCATTCCTGTGTACTGTGAGATTGTCGTGGCAATCGGAATACCGGACTCCTGTGCGTCATCAAATATGTTAGTTAAATGGTCCGACTGTTCCAAACAAACCCGACAGCTTCTGATTGCTGGCTCCTCCAGACATTCTGTTATTATAAAGTATTCTCCCTGCATGGCTTCCTCTTCAAGAACCTCCTCCTTAATTACGGGGTGCTCCTCAAGAATTTCCTCCTTAGCTACGGAATCCTGTATGAGGATCACGTCTTTACATGCAGGATGCTCCTCAAAAACCTCCCTGTCAACTATTTGGCGAGCTTCTAGGACTTCCTTATTAAGTATGTGGTTTTCCTCCACAAGAACCTCCTGTTTAACTACGAAGTGCTCTTCTGGCATCTGCTGATGATATACAGGTTGCTCTGGTAGGTCGTCCTCGGTGCTTAAGGAGTGTTTTACGTGGACCTTTTCACTAATTTGGGTTGCGGGGCACCAAGGCACCAACTTATGCTTGATGCCAAATGTGTCCAAATGCAGGCACTGGAGGCAAATGGTTTTGGGAAGCGAGCCACCGCGTTTGACCGACAAGCCCGGACGTAGCTTGCAACACTGGCACACGTTCTCCATCGCCCTGGAATCGAATAACTGTATATAACGTATATTGAAATACTTTTTTTGGCTCACCTAGTCATTTGTTTACAATTTTCAGGGCTGTGAACAGTTTTCTATATGCACGAGCCACCCTGTCTCCTTCTGTTATCGAGCTGTTATCGATCTCAAACAACAAGATACCCCCCGGTAATCGACTATTTTAACTATCAGATACCCTTTTTATAGAAATTTAAATGCGTATTTACTTTACCTTTGCAATAAGCCACAGGTGCTTTTCATGCCACCCAAAAAAGAAACGTTTTATCTTTTTCAAATATTTAAAATAGGCGGATGGATTGCGAATAATACAAAACTTAATGTTCCATTACAGTCTAAGAACATAAACCGGATAGACCTAATAAATTAAGCAACTAAACGTTAACGAATATAGTCAAACTAAAGTTAACTTAGTGGAATGATTTCTCAAGATGTTATCGTATATAAACTAGGGGAAGCGCTTTTTTAGTAGGTTTTCCAGCTTTCTGATGCCCGTCTGGGAGCTTCCGTCGGCATTTTTATCTGCGCTTCCCGTAAAGCTGCCCACGCTGAAGATGAAGGCTCGTTTGGGCGTTGAGGAAGCTGCCGTTGTCGTTTCAGTTGGTACTGCCGCAGTTTCAGCATCGTCAGTGGTTGCCAAAGCTGCGGCTACTGTTTCTGCACCTTGGGGTTCCTCCTCCCCAGCATTTGGCTCGATTAAGCCACTAACAGCTGCTGCAGAAGCCGTGTGCTTAAAAAGATCAATCAGTTGCAGTTGATCCACACGTTTGACCGCCTTCATATCCAGAATCTTTTGATACTCCGCAATGGTAATGTCTGGCAGCAGCTTGAGCACTTGCTGGGTGAAGTGCGCCGGCGGCTGGACCGGTGTCATCACCACCTTGATGATCATCTCGGCCCGAGTCATGTCCTTGACCACAACTTTGGTGTAACTGGTGGGCGCCTTGCGGTTTACACTCGATCCCACAGAAGGCAGCTCTAATAAAGCCGTCTTCAGCGAATGGGTGTCCAACAAGAGTTGCTCGCAGCCCAGAACATTGTTGGAACCATCCGAGAGGGTTAGTTTGCAGCGATAAAGCACGTTGATGAACTTCGGTATGAATGCGGCGACGAAGCGATGGCAGAATTGAGTAAAATACTTCCGCGAACTGGCTAACGTGTCCCTGATGGTCGGCACTGTCTGCTTAAAGTTTCCACAAAGACTGCTGATGAAGGCGCTCTGGTCCCCCACATTGTTGATTTGTTGCCACTGCACCTTGGACATCGCCTGCAGCGAAGCTTCGCAACCAGCCTCTAGATCTTGAACCAAAAGTTGGATGCAGTTGGAAATGATACTAACCATGTTAAAAGGAATTAATAATTGTTTGGATTAAAATATAAAGTTTTTTACTCACCGATGAAATACATCCTTTTCCTCGCTCATGTCGATCTTGCTGACATATGCAGAAGTCACCTTTTCCTTCAGTTTATCCTCCAGCTGCTGGACAGTCTCCAAACAGTACTCACCCGTGGTCAAAACGCAACATATGCGCACCAGATCATCTCTTGCAAATCGCTGCGTATCGCCCTCCTTGAGGAAATTGTGAAAGACCTGACCAGCGGCAGTGGATAGATTCTGCATGTCGCGCGTGAGTAACGAGACACTCTTACCGATGGAGCTGCTGGTGGTGGCTGGCACAAGCTTGGGTGTGCTGCCCTCGAGTACTTTGGAGGCATACTCCCGCAAATATTTCTTGAACACTAAAGCCAGATCGTACATAGGTTGTTCGTTGCTCAGCTGGTTGCACTGCACCATACACTTCTTGTAAAAGACGAAAAGATCACCGGAGCTGGGGTACACGGTGGTCTTGGCCTCGGCGAATTTGTATGGTTCCCGCGACATCTCTACGAACTTATCCATCAGCTCCGAAAGGTTTCGGTCGATGCTGCGTATGTATATGTCCAAATGTGACTTGAAGCATTGACCAATTTGGTCGTGGAAGACGGTGATGCCCACAGGGCCGTCCGTCGTCGTTGGCTCATTAAGCACTCTTGCTTTATCAGTGGGCTGCGCACCCAGTGTAACTCCCGTGAAGCGCTTGGAAAGCAGCTGTTCAAATGCCTGCGTCTTGTTGATGGCGAACAAAAGAAGTCTCACGTCGATTTCGTTGGTGCGTTTGGCCATGATTTGTGCCAGCTGTTCGCGTGTCTGCCGGCAAAACTCCACAGTAATTCGCTCAGAAACCTCCCAATCTAGGGGAAACACGGGTCCATACTTGTCCTCGAAGTCTAGCAGATGCCTCTTAAGCCAGGCATAACGTTTATCTATCTTGTCCAGCCAGGCTATATCCTGGTTCTCGTGAAACAGGTGCGTGTACTCCTCCAGCTGTTGTGCAATAAACCACTTGAGCAGCTCCTTCTTCACTTTGGGATCCAGCACGGACATCACTTTACAAGCATCGGCCAGCTGATTAAGTCCCAAACGGTGTTGGTTCTGTGCCGATGGCTTTGCTGAAAACGCATCCTTGAAGTCCTCGGTGATTTGCTGCGCCAGTGTAACCTGTATCTTATCTACGCTCTGAGAGAGATTCTGAAAGAGAAAAACTTGTCGATTACATTATTTTATATGGAAACCAAACCAACCTTGATTTCTTCGATGTCGGAGAACTGCTGGAAGTGCTGGTTAACTTCAGTAATAGCCTGGAGGGGATTAAGGATTTCTCCGTAGGATCGCCGCTCGATCAATTTGTTCAGACTTTCGATTCCGCCGACCAGCATGTGCAGGTGATTCAGCGTGGTGATGGCAGCAGTTAGGTTGCGCTTGGCGCAGTCCAGCTGCTTGATATCCCGGGTTATCTCTTTGACCATTTCTTCGGTGCGCTCCGCCCGGGTCTTCACGTCGATGATGTGGCTGAACAGGGAGCTGATAACTTTTTGAGCCTCGCACAGTGCAAGTTGTCCATCCTGGCCGGTGTTCGTCTGTCCACGAACAACGGATCGGATGTTGTCGTCAATCAGGGACACCTCGCACTGCATCTTTTGGATTGTCTCATCAATCCCGGCCAGCGATTGCTCGTTGGGGAAGAGCTGGTTGATGTAGTCCACAGTGTTGAAGTCCGGCGCATCCATGGGATCGTCCGTTTTGAGAACCTTTTATGGAGATTCGTTGTGGGTTGGTCATTGCAATAAACATATGTTCCACTGACCTTGTCGATGACCTGCTTCACCTCCTTGGAGAAGTGTATCTTGTTGTTAGCAACCATCCTCTCTTCCGGCTCCGCAGCTACCGCAGTCTCGCTCATCTCGCTTTTTCCTTATTAACTTGTATAAAAAAGTTATTGTTATTTTCTTCGTGGAAAACCAGGGATGCAGTGCTATCTTATTGTATAGCAGCTGCTGTTAAATTGCAGTCGTGCTGTAAGACGCAGTGCTGTTAGGATAGTGCATTTCGATAGACATTTATCGGAATTTGAAATGCCTTATCAAAAAATTTTGATTTATTATTTAATTTTCTGAAAGCTTTTCGTTTTAATTATGGGTCTACAAAAATTTTTGGATTTTTTTATTATTTGAATTATTTATTTAATGACTACAGGTCACAAAGCATCCAGCTAATAACTATCTTATTATATTATCTTGAATAAACTTCACAATCTTGCTTGACTGAAAAAATTACTGGGAAAACAATGAGTTACTGTTCGGACCGGAACTGGAGCCTGTCATGGATGCACTTAACATGGATGTGTCCCTTTGAGAGGCGGTGGCCGTACGCTGGTAACGTGCTATGTGGTCCAGAGAATAGGGCAGGATGGGTCTCACACTGTGGATCTCCAGCAGCGTGAGGTTGTCCAGTTTCGCGTATGTGCCCTCTCCCTTGATAAAGGCATCGATAGAAGTGCGGAGTTTGGACTCGCGGATGTCGAAGATGTCCTTGATCACGGTGCGCAGCTCCTCGCAACGGGGAACGTCATCCGGAGCCGTGCTCATGACCAACTGGGCCACTACCATGTAATGCTCGCAGGGCATTTTGGTGAAGAACCTACGGACCGCTGGAGAATAAGTAGTGCGTTCAATGGGCATTCTCACATCATACATACTTTGAGCGCTTTTCCTCCTCCTTGATTTCCTCCAATATGTCCATGTCCATCCATTCTGGAGGCACAATTCGGCACTTTTGCTGTTTGCGCAGATGCGTGGCCATCCACAGGGGCACGAACACGGGAAAACCGGCTCGGAAAGGCCCCACAGATCCGTATATCAGGTGCAGGGGCTCGTTGGAGAAGTTCGGTATAATGCTGATCATGCATTTTTCGCCAATAAATTCAATAATTGCAGGATCCATAATGTCTATAAACAAAAAATAAACAAATGCGGGAACATACGGTCACTCGTGAGGCCAGTGATGGCACCTATCCGCTATCGATCCTCAAGCTATCGGCGAAGTGATATCAGTAGTCTGGCAGCCCCGCTCTGCAATCGACCGTTAATAACGGTGTTCTTTTCTAAGCAATCTGCTTGCATCACGAAGCTATCGCCTGCGGGCTCTGCGTCAATTTAATAACGTCAAACTATAGACTCCTGCGACATAATAGCCATACTTCGCCACTATAAATATGCCAACCGTATTTCGACGACCTTCGGCCGGGTTATCTCACCATCATTACCACTATCGCCGACCGGATCGCATCGAATCGCTTTGCTGCACCGCTGCAGCCAATGGAGCTGACTAATTTGTGCTCCCGATGCGAATCTGTTATTGCAGATTCCGGCTAAGGCGACGACAACTATCAAGAATCACGTAAAACGCCAGCCGGTCGTCGTGATAAGCGCATGAATGCCAAACATGATCAAGCGTTCAAGTTCAGCCAAGTTTTCCGTTCTATAATATATAAGCTGCACGGGTGTAATCCCTTGCACCACTTCGCCGTAAAATCCGAGACTAAAATGCACTAGATAGCGTTATCGGTCTTGTATCTTTGTGGCAAATAAAACAATACGCCCGGTAATGAACTCCAGAAATGACGGTCACCACAAGGTTAGATTTGCATTAGCTGAAATCCTAACTGAGAAGATTTCAACTGCAATCTGCAGACAACTTCGATAGAGAAACGAAAATAGAAATATAAATCTTCTG